GTAGACGCCTCCTCTGAAGTGGCGTAGCGTGAAAGATAGTCTGTAAGTGGAATGGACTGCGTACTGCGATGATGGATGTCGTAGGAATAGGCGGATAACGCAATACTCCATCGTTGTACCATGGCTGCAGATGACTTAGCCAGGGAACGTTGAGGGTTGTAAATGAACTGCAGGGCTTCATGATCACTCACAATAGTGAAATAAGTACCATAAAGATACTTGTGCATACGCATGATAGCCCAATAGACAGCTAGAGCTTCTCTTTGAGTTTGGGAATACCCAAGTTCGGCGACCGTGAGTCTGCGTGAGCTGCACAACACCGGATGACCATTCTGCTTCAACACAACTCGCATTCCAACGGGCGTCCCTGATGACGGTGAAATGTAATCGTGGGAAAAAAGGACGTAAAACGGCACTGGCAGATAAAAAGGAAAGTAACTTCCTCAAGGCACGTTCATGGGCCGAAGTCCACTGAAATGTTTGCTGTGACTGTAAATCAAACAATGGAGCAGCTTGAGTTTAAAAGTTAGTAATAGTGTCGTAAAGAACCAATCAAAGAACGAAGTTTATGTAACGACTTGGGAGATGGAACATTAGTTAACGAAAAAATCGATTAGGGTCAGGACAGAATCCGGATTCACCAACCAAATAACCTAAACAAAAAAGTTTAGTGGTAGCAAAGACACATTTATCAGGGTTAACAGAAATGTTATGAGAACGAAATCTTTCAAGCAAAGCACACAAGCGTTCGCCACGTAAGTGTCTGCTAGGCGCATGAACAATAAATTCGTCCTAATAAGCACATACACCTTGTAAGCCGGAAATGATAGAATCGATAGTAGTTTGAAAAATAGCGGGAGAGACACTGAGTCCAAAAGTTAGAAAATGGTAGCGAAATAAACCAAAAGCTGTGTTAATAGTCGTGAGTTCACGGGACTTTTCATCAAGAGAAATTTGAAGAGATGCTTCTTTTAAGTCTAGACTAGAGGAAAGTTTGGATGTATGAAGTTGGTGCAGAATGTCGTCTGGTTCGACGGTGGCATAACATGACTATTTCCGCTATCTGTTCACAGTAACTCGATAATCCCCACATATCCTAGGAGTCTTCTCGTCACGTTTTAGTGGAGTAACAATTGGCGTGGCCCAAGCTGAAAAATTTACGGTTGTCAGAACTCCCTTGCTTACCGTTTCATCTAACGCCTTTTTTACGGACTAACAAAGTCTCCGTGGGATAATCCGACGTTTCATAAACACCAAAGTACCGGTCACTTTGAGACTCACAGGAGACATTTTGATACCACTCTTTCCCTTCGAACATTTAAGTATTAATTGACGAAGGCGTGACTGATGGGAGTTAGACATGAATGAAAATGACAGATGCATACGATTCATGCAATTCAAACCAATTATGGAAATGTCGGAATCAATAAGCAAAACGGGCAGTGAAATGTTTGTGATTTATCGTTTTTAAGAGGCAGTTCTGATGATCCTAAGACAGGCATTACGAAATATACAGGATAGCCGCGAATGTCTTTGACCACAGGAATTGTACTTGTTCCATCGTTGAGTCCGTTGTTCATTGTGGGCTGGAGAACTGGTGTTGCTTGGTTTTCGAACCCTTTTCAAAACATCGCTTTCGTTGGGATGGTGACGGGTTGAAATTGCTAACATTGAACAAGCAGTTGGGTTCATCAAAAATAATGGCACGGACATTTTGGTACTGTTCATAGATTGCCTTAGCCGACTGAAAAGTGCAATCGTGCATGAGCAAGAGCTTTTGCTATAATTCCCGGTAATTATTGCCAGCAATCAATCAATCACGTAGCTGGATTTGCAATTGATCTCCGAAATTGCAACGAGATGCTTCAGTCTGAAGCTGAATAATAAAGTCAAGTACAGGTGTGAGTGAATGAAGTTTGGCTCGTTCAACGGCTTCGAAATTAGCCGGTGGTAGATGCTTCAGCAGCAAGGTTTTCTGGGGATTCATACGACAGCGATATAGGAATGTCAGGAAATACCAAATTCTTCAACAATGAGTATACATTCTTTCCGATGACCGTTAGGAAACTAGCAGTTTTGCGTGCTCCATCGAGTCCTTCCCCCGTAATTCACCAAATCTCGAATCGTTCAAGATAATCTATTTCGCGCTCACTGACATGTATATTCAAGTTCTAAAAATTACAAGACTTCATTGGTTCAAAATGACCGCAAAGCCAGTTGTTGTGGTTAGCACTCGGACTAATAATTCGTATACGTATCCGATTCCGCACACTAATAGTGGAACCCAGAACTAGGACTCAAAACGAAATCAGAACACAGAACTCAACGACGGAATGTAACTGTAATAAGCGGAAATTCGGAATGTACAAGGATGTCGTGTTCAATAAAACAAGAGAGTTCATAGTTCTTGAGAAATCATCACAGTTACCCACAAAAGTGCTCAACTCTGCCCATGTCAACGCCGTCTAGATGGCCCTTTAGCCGGAAGTTGTGAAATGGTGTAAAGTTTGACTTGAGTGTTGGAATTATTCTAAACCTGACTGTCCTGTCACACTTGATCTGTGTTATTGAACTCATGTTTACTCAAGGTCCCTAGCCAATGAGGCGAGGGGAAATCGTTGCTTGTTTTGCTCCCTTTCGGCATATTCCCAAGGATTCAAAGTTCTGGAAACGGGTCTAAATTGAGAGGATCACAAATAACTAATCGACTGTACGCCGATAACACATCGAACTGGATGCTCGATTGGCAAGAGCCATATTCGTCCTGTGAAAAACTGAACTGAACTCAACTGAACTGAATTTTTGAAGCCGGCCCCATTTTCCATAACATCCCTTTCAGTTCGGGCATCAAACTGCAGGAAAGAAGACAAATACATAACCGAGAGTTTTGGGCCCAAGCCTCGAACCCGAGTACTAATGCAAGACTTGCGGTACGTTAGCGCGTGGTTTAAATTCCCACTGGGCACTATCTCATTCACACTCTTTGTCCGGTACTAGTGAAATATCAGTAGATATTTCACTCAAATAACTCTTGAAATAGTTTTACGTTTACCAGTGTCGTTCGTGATCTGTCAAAGATCACAAACCTTTTTTTCTAGGCTATTTTTCTGCGTGCAATTTGGTGGTTCGCAGGCCTAAATTATTTTATTTTTGAGTTTGGTAAAACGTATTTTTTGCGTTTTTGGAATCACCTGTGTCTAGTTTCCCAGAGTTAGAGAACTGTGTATTTAGATATTTCGTGATCATCTTAGAATGGCACAATTGAAAGGTTTCAACGCGTGTGGGGCCTATTGTTGTGCTGAGTATGTCGCCGATGGAATTCAGTGCAACGGCTGTGGAGTGTGGTACCACCAGCGATGCTCTCATATGAGCAAAAAGGAGTATCAGCTCCACATGGAGCACAAGACCTTTAAGTGGGTGTGCAAACACTGCGCAACACTAGCCGAGGAGTTAAGGAGAATCCTGATGGCATCACTGGCTCCCCTGAATAAGGATAACAAAGAGCAACCAGAAGGGATTACTTTTGCGTCATCCCAAAATAAAAGTGCAGAGATAAGAAGAGCAGGAAACCGAAACAAGGAAGTTGGAAAACAGACTATGAGGCCCTTACAGGCTAAGAAGTCTGTGGTTAAACCTGAGGGACAGCCGATCTACCGGGAAACGATAAAACGGATCGAGAAAAGGGCCCATAAAAGAGGGCTTAAGAGGGCAATGCCCTCAAGGTAAGGTCAAAACC